TAAATAAAATGTATAATGGTACTGTAACAAACCCCATTTAATGAAAATTTCTCTATAAAAAATAGTGTTTCAATTAAACATCACTAATGCAAACACACAATTTGATAAACCGTTAAAGTTGTCATATAATTAAGCATTGGAATGCCGATATAGAATAAAATGCACTTGCACTAATGAATACACACCGTAAAATTGCATAAAAAATATCTTTGAAAATAGGCTTTAACAATGCTGATTTGAGATGGTAACTTGCACTTGCACTATTGGAAAAATTTAATCCAATTAAGATCTAATTAAGCGTTAAAATGCTTTTTAAAATTCGCAAAAAAATGCTGATTCGCAATAAAATTGCACTTACACTATAACACACAGCTTTAAATCTATTTATAAGTCGCATTTATAATTGTAAAACATAATAAACTTTCAGATTCACAATAAAATGAACTTAACACTTAACAGCTTAAAATTTCTTGATAAAGCAATAAAAATGCTGATTTAAGAAGGTAACTTGCACTTGCACTATTAAAAACACTTAACAATTAAATAAAACTTTAAAAATTAGTGTCTAATTAAGCATTAAAATGCTCTTTAAAATTCGTAAAAAATGCTGATTCGCAATAAAATTGCACTTGCACTATAACACACACAGCTGTAAATCTCTTTAAAAATCGCAGTTAAATGGGCAATAAATTTATAATGGTAAAACATAATAAACTTTCAGATTCACAATAAAATGAACTTAACACTTAACATTTACAGCTAAAAATTTCTTAATAAAGCATTCAAAAATGCTGAATTAAGAAGGTAACTTGCACTTGCACTATTAAAAACACTTAACAATTAAATAAAACTTTAAAAATTAGTGTCTAATTAAGCATTAAATGCTCTTTAAAATTCGTAAAAAATGCTGATTCGCAATAAAATTGCACTTGCACTATAACACACACAGCTTTAAATCTCTTTAAAAATCGCAGTTAAATGGGCAATAAATTTATAATGGTAAAACATAATAAACTTTCAGATTCACAATAAAATAAACTTAACACTTAACATTTACAGCTAAAAATTTCTTAATAAAGCATTAAAAAATGCTGATTTAAGATGGTAACTTTCACTTGCACTATTAAATACACTAAACAATTTAATAAAACTTTAAAAATTAGGGTCTAATTAAGCATAAAAATGCTGATTTACAATAAAATTACACTATTACATACACAGCCTTCAATCTCTTTAAAAATCGCAGTTAACTAGGCAATAAATTTATAATGGTGAAACATAATAAACATTTACTTAATGGTCTTTAGAATCTGTATAACATGCGACATAAAATAAAATTGCTCTTTACCCTGTAAAATCTTACCTATATAAAATAGCGGTTAAATAGGTTTTGCAAAAGCTGATTCAAGATCGTAACAATTGCACTTGCACCATTGTATTCACTTACAATTGGATAAAACCTTAAAAATGCTGATTTAAGATGGTAACTTGCACTATTATATACACAGCATTAAATCTCTTTAGTCGCAGTTAAATATGCCATAAAATTAATAATAGTAAATCATACTTACTTTTACAAACCCCACTCAATAAAAAAAATCTTTAAAAATATTGCACTTCAATAGAATCAAAATAAAATTGCTCTTTCAATATTACATACACAGACAAAAATTCAGCATTTTTACCTTTACGGCAAAAAAATTTATTTAAATGGCATTTTACAAAACACTATTAAGTATTGCACTGTGCTTTTTACGAGCAATTTAAAATGCTGATTTAAAATAATAATGCTTAAATCAGTTTGCACTTGCACTATTCCAACCACCATTTAACGGAAAAATATCTAAAAAAAAATAGCACGGAAAACAAAAGCATTAAGCATTAAAAAATGCTAATTTAACACAGTTAAGCATTACATGCTTTTTGAAATTTATTAAAAATTCTAGTATACAACGAACACTTAAATATAGTTTTACTTATAGACCCTCCACTAATTGTATAAAAATTAAAAAATAGATCGCAATAAACATTTACAGGTTAAAATTACTTAAAAAAGCATTTAAATGTAAAATGGTAACCTGCACCTGCACTATTGAACACTAAAAATTAGATAAAAATCCTGATTTACAATAAAATTGCACTTGCACTATCTTTAAAAATCGTAGTTAAATAGGCAATAAATCTAAACGGTAAAACTTAATAAACTTTTACTATAACAAACTCAATAAAAAAAACTTTATGAAGATAGCTTCATATTTGATTTTATATGTTATCTTTCATTAATTTTTATCCTCAGACGTTTTCTCGCATTTGCTCATTTTTCGATAGTTTTGTATTGTCTTCGTGCGAGAAAATTACGTCAACTATATGACATATTCGTTTTTTAATATACGTTTAAGTTTGTTTTAATAATAGTTTCCATAGTGATATCTAATTTAATAATAAAAAAATTATCTACAGTTTATAATATAACCTTTATATGGTCCATTATACTGTTTAGGTAACTTTTTTAATTATTTTCTTATTTAAGTTAAAACATATAGTTATTCGTACTATAGTATAGTATACCTATGAATAATGCCATTTTATTTAAAATGGTCAATAATAAGTGGCCTAAAAGTATATAAACCATTAAAAAAAATGATAAAAATAAAAATCACTTACCCTTTGTCCTTTACACTGCATTTTTAGAAAAACCATGGTGCACCCATCGGTAGTACATTTTTGTGTAATGATAATAAATAAATAAACAAAACAAATATGAGATTATAATCTTGTTAACCCTAATATTCAACTAAGTACTGAATTTTTATGGGAAAATATTTTAAATGATTTTTTAAAATTAATTTCTTTTAATTGCAGATGATTGCAAAAAGGGTACAAGTCATGTTTTATTATTTTATTGATTTTGTCTGCCAAATTTAGTGCTTAAAGGAAATCCCTTCTGCTAAAAAAGATAATCTTTTGCATACCTATGCATGTATTTTTGACTTTTTTTTTAATAATGCACAAGTAGTTTATATACAGTAATTTGCGTTTTCCTTAATTACATTGGGCAATTTAATTTTTTTTAAATTACGATGGGCAAAGCTGCAATTATTGGTTTTAGTTTAGCCTTTCAAAAAATTCTCCACCATATCAATCCAAATAATAAACTCCAAAGGTAAACACACAACACCACTATAACATTTTGTTTTCCCGAAAAATAAAAAACATAAACAACAAATACTTAAAAGTCAATGTAAAACATTCCACTTTAAAGACACTTTCGGCACTTAGAAAACTCGCGAGTTCAACAAACAACGACAAAATCAAGATTTCGCGGATATTATAAAAGTTTGGTTAAAACTCAAAATCTTTGGTTATGTAGCTATGTTCGCAGTCCTTACTATAAAAAGGAAAGTGTGCACTGAGATTTGTTGCATACCTACACTAAATTTTGTTGTGATTCAGAATGGTTAATTTTAACAATCTTCATTTGAATTTTGTAATAAAAACATAAACATTTATTGGTTGATACATGTTGGAATTTTGTAGGTTTAAGTTAGTTCTCTTAATTTGTATAATAAATGTACCAGTGTACTCTAGTTCTTTAGTAGAGGTATATGAACATACCGATTCTTTTGATTCTGTTTTTAGACAGCACTGATGTAATACATCAGATATTTATTGCAAAATAACATGGTTTTATGACTTATCTTGCAGCAAAATACACTATATAAATTATAATTAATAAATATTCTAATAGAGCGAAAAACTCCGCACCGGCAACGTCGCAATGGCTATCAAACAATCAGAGTTGCCAACCACATTTTAATTAAAGATTGAATTAAGATTTGAGCAGGTTTTATTTAAATACAAAAAAAACAATATTATAATTTTTAAATAATTTCATAATAAAACAAAAATAAAATTAACTTTAAATCCATCCATAAATATTTAACAAAATAATAAATAAAATTCAAAAAAATAACAAAACAAAAATGTATTTATTAGGTACAGTATTATTTTATTAATTATTATTTCGTGCATTTTACTTAAATTACCAAACAATCCCATATCAGGTAGAAAAGGCTATATTGAAAAATAACGGACACCCTTACATACAGTGTTGTCTTAAGACATAATTATTTCTATATCAACAGTTTTTGAGTCATATTTCAGCGTTACCAAGTTTAATATTTCCACGAAATCGTATACAGTTCATTTTTTTTATCTGGACTCGTGTTTTTTTGTTAGGTTGGTGGCTTATGCCAGTTTGACTTAGTATTTTTAGTATTTAAAAATGGTACTTATGCTAAAGAATTTATAAATTATAATTAAATACTTTGACACTGTCAAATTGACAATAATATTTATTATTGATAATTTACTTGTTAATTAGAAATTAAAAGATAATTATGCCAAAAATAATAACAACGAATTCGAATGTAAAAGCCCTTTTGAGGGCAAAACTTCATTATGATGAAATTATGCCAAATGCCACAATAGAAGAAAAAGTACATCGCCTTAGGAATACTTTCTCTTCTGGGTCGTAAAGCAACCTATATTTAACTACTTTTTTATATGATTTTACTCATCCAAGCACCACCAAAGCCAAATTAATTGCATTTTTAACTAAGAATTTCGACAACTCAACTTGGCAACTGCACAATGTAACCTACAATAATTTATACATAACCACAATTAGATTTATAACTAGCTTAGTTTGTTTTAATCAATGCGACCAACTTGACAACTGTATTTACCAACCAAAACCCTAAATTTGCAACGTTGCAGCAGTCCAGATAAAGAAAAATGAACTTTATGTCTAATGTTCTAATAATTATTCTAGGGTGTTGGACAATTGTGTATTGTCCTTAATTTGGTACTTTTACAGGATTGTATATGAGCTTTATATCTTTTTGATTTAACTGTGATGTAGTTACACTTTTTGCATTCAAATGTTTTAATGGTGATTTTAATTTTATTTTTAATGCTATTTTGATGACTGTGTTTACTAAGCACATGCATTTGCAAGTTGGGTGTGTGTTTGGTTGTATATGCACAATAAGGACATTTTAGGTTTTCTTCGATATGTTTTTTGTAGTGCAATTTATATTCATACTCAACATTCGTTTTATATGAACATTGGCTACAGTTAATTTCTGGTCCAACTTTACACGATTTTACATGTTTTTGATAGTACTTGGGTTCGACTGTGATATAAATGCAATTTTCACACTGAAATGTTTTAAGATTAATTTCGATTTTTTTCTCAATTTCATTCTGGCTTCTGTGCTTTGAAAAAATATGTTTTTGCAATGATGTAGACATCTTCGAAACATACTGACAGTAAGGACAAGTTAAATTGGAAGTTTCATGAGATTTCAAATGCGAGTTTAACTTATACAGAGTGTTTGTAGTGTATGAACAATGAAGACAGTCAAAGGTGGTCTTTAAATTTTTGCATGACGCAATGTGCGCGGTAAAACTTGTTTTTGTCACAGTTTTATAGTCACAGCTATCACAAGAGTACGTTTTTATTTGTATATCTACTTTATTTTCCAACTCATTCTGTTCTCTATGTTTCCTATAGATGTGCCTTTGTAAGGCTTGGTTTACAGTGGTTGTAAACTCGCAATACGCGCAAGGGAAGGTTTTTATGTCTATGGATACTTTATTTTCCAAGTCATTCTGTTTTTTGTGTTTCCTAAATATGTGCTGTTGTAGTGTTTTATTTTCTACCGCTGCAAAGGTACAGTACATACATTTATTAATCTTGTGATTTTTTACATGCTTCTGCATTTTAACATCCAAGGTGGTTGCGAATGCGCAGTGAATACACGTCATGAGCGTTTTACATGCCTGAACATGTTTTTCAAAATCTTTACTGGTGACGGTGGTATAGCTGCAACTATCGCAATTATAAATCGGACATCTTAGTTTTACTTTTTTTTCCACGTTGTTTTGTTCCCTGTGCTTCCTGTGCACGTGCTTGTGTATGTCTTTGTTACGTTGCGTCGAGTAGGTACAGTACGGACATTTTGGTTGCGTTTTCATTTTTTCCTTTTTTTCGTTGTTTCTGCATATGGTTGATGTTTCACTGAAACAAATACGGTTGTTAATTTAGGAAGCTAGCTATTTTATCTATTTTGCAAAAATTCTATACAAAAAATTAATTTAATACCTTGAATTTAATTTGGTCGAATTTTACTTTAGATAATTGGTATCACAGTCATTGGTTTGACAGTTAATGTCAAAATCGATTCGCCATGCCGTCCTTAATTTACTTATTTACAATAAGCGGCTGTTAATGTTAAAGAAGAAAAAAAGGATTTTCTTTGGCGTTAAACAAAATTTATTGCCAGAAAAGTCTCGTAAGTACTAGAAAAATCATAAAAATATTATAACCAATATGCAAAATATTATGCTGTTTAAATATAATAATATAATAGGGTGGGATAAAGTATCTCATTACGGCACCGAAAGCGTTGTTATAATGAAGTCATTATGAACACAAAATAAATAAAATAAATTAAATTAATCTATAAAATGTAAGTATTAACCAACTATTCATTAAGGTGAGGACCACTTCAGAATCTGAATAATAAATAGTTATTTATATGACATAAAGGTTAAGAAGTAAGGCTTTTTGTGCTAAGCTCAAGGTTTGAAGGCCGACGCGTAGCGGAGGAATTGAGCGAAGCACAAAAAGGCACTTCTTGGCCGAATGGCATAAAACATTTTATCTTCAAAGCACTTTATATAGGTCAATTTAATTCAACATCAAAGCGGTCTAACCTCAGTTTTTTAGAATCTCATTTATTTATTAGCTAAAGATTACATTAAATGTACAATAATTAATATTGCTTTTAGAAGCAGTAATAGTTTGACAATACCTAGCAACATGATTTAAGTAGAAATGGATTTTTGCTATTACATTGAATTCAATTAATTGTTTAATAAATAGGTAGGTTTCTAATTTCAATTTGTTTGGATTTTTATTTAAAAAATAGGTAGTTTGGAATGTTTAAGCTGTGTTTAACATTTAATTTTACTGGAAACTTAAAGCAAATTAAAACTTAAAGATAATTTAAATCGTAGAAAAAGAATCGTGCGTTTTCTTGGTTGCCTAACCTCACTTTTTGTTTTATTATTCATATTTAATTTTACAATAATTTAATGAAACATATTAAACATTAACAGTAAAACAAACAAATTAGTGCTTATTATAAATAAATTAAACCAGTTTAGTACGTTAATTTCTTAGAAAAGGATTAATTTGTCAAAACAATACCCCTAGCGAGAAAAAATCGAACTAATTACTTGCCTCATAAAAAATTTTATCGGCCTAGGCCATAACAAGGTATTTCTTTATCGAATGTTGACAACAATAAAGTTTAAATTATAGACCGCGTGGAGATAAAGATTTTTATTAAAGTATTATGGTTCTAAGAACAATTAACCTTTGTGATAACTCCCATAAACCCAAACATCTTTTTAAAGAGTGTGATAAAGCTTTGATATAATATTTAGGTAAAAGACAAGAGTCACATGTGTTACTTGGGTCGTGTGACGGTTTTGTATTTGTAAAACTTCTTCTGAGTGTGTTTTTCGAGGTGACAACTGTCCCACTGGGAAAGAAACCTTACAAAATATTGCTGCAATGTTCGCCGACTTTACAAATAAAATATTTCCTGTGCTACTTGCATTAACATAAATGAAATGTTACATTTGAAATATTGCATAAAATAATTTCCAACAACCTTAAATTTGAAACATTATTTAAAGATTCACATGTAAAGTTTTTACAATGTTATATTTGTAACATATAGCATAAAATATTGCATAAAAGTTTTTAAACATTACAATTATAATATTGCAGACATATATGAAGTTATAACTTCCTTTCAATGTTTCAATTGAAATATTAACACAACTTTCAAATGAAAAATGTTTGCAACTTTACTTTAAATATACAATAGAAACATTTATTTTGGAATGTTTGGAAATATTTTTGAAACATTGCAATTATAATATTACATTGATAAGTTTTGGGCAATGCTTTATCCGAAATATTACATTAAGATGATTTTTGCAATGTTACTTTTTATAAACAATATAAACATTTAATTTGCAAGATTTTTGGAACATTGCAATTATAATATTACATTGATAAGTTTTGTAATATTACATTTATAATTATAACTTTAGTTTTGAACAATGTTTCATCCGAAATATTGCATTAAGATAATTTTTGCAATGTTGTTTGCAGACTGACTTGCCGATGCATCTCGCCGCTGTCCTGGTCATTTAAATCTTTATAAGTGAACAGAGCCGAGCTTGATGCGTGTCTCCCGTCACCGACTGCCTGACACTGATGAGACCCAACAGGTCGAAACAGTCTGTCTGTCAGTTGGTGGGTATGGTGCATTAGTAAATGGACCATACCATTCGGAAAACGCGCTTCGAGCTCCTCGGCTCGTTGGCGAAATGGAAAGGCATTTCATATATATATATATATATATATATATATATATATATATATATATATAATAATATATATATATATATTATATTTATATATATATCCGGATTATAGGCCTCTATCTTACGGATAAATAATTATAATTAATTATTATTATAATATTTCATATTAATTTAATTGCAATCTTCCTGTAATGTGGCAGGAACCTTACATTAACAAAAATAACATTTAGTAACATTGCAATTAATACATTTAAGCAACATTTAATTTGTAAATGTAATGTTCCTGAAACATAAGGCTTTGTTGCAATGTTCCTGCAACATTGCCACAAGGATTTTTTTAACATTACATCTAACAAATGTAATGTTGCAGGAACCTAACATTAACAACATTAAGCAACATTTTATTTGTAAATGTAATGTTCCTGAGCCGGACATAAGGCTTTGTTGCAATGTTCCTGCAACATTGCCACAAGAATTTTTGTAACATTACACCTAACAAATGTAACGTTCAGTAACATTGTAGAAATATTATTTTTCCCAGTGGGGTCCTTATTCCAAAACGCCTTGACATTCTTCTGATTTTCTCCAAAATTTTTCTGTATACACCAAACATGAAAATATGATATCTTCTGGCAAAAACGTTTTCATAACTCATATTTACAGCTAAAAAACTAAGATATAATAAAACAATTAATTATGAAGAATTTATTTATTTAATAAAAGTGATACAAAAATGTATAGTAAATTAATATATTAATTGTACCTCTACTATTTCCTACTATAATCTGAAAAACTAGATTTAATTGATCGTTTTTTCATGGCTTCATTAGGTTTGTTCTTGATCAAATAGGCAGCAAAGGCGTTAATAGGATCCCCAGGCCTCACCTTTGCCAAGAATATCAAACCACTTATAACGATGCCTATCAAGGTTTCCTCCAAATATTTATTATCTGGCAAGGCTAAATAATATGCTCTGGAATTGTTTTTTTTACCCAAGGACGATACGTCTTCGAGTCCAACGGTTTTCATCAATTCGACGCAAGGTTTGACGCTTTCCTTAAATTCTCTAGGCATTTTGGTAGAGTAACAAATATATTAATTGTTTTTAAAATATTGAATATAAAATTAATTTGACAATGGCACGACTAACAGATGCTAGTAGAAGGCAGCGAATAGCGACCATAGATAGACTCTAATACAATCCACACTACAAGGTCTGTTCTATCTCGTTTCGCGCATACTAAAAGTCACGAACTTAGGCAACCAACTGCACAGGGCGGCCATTTTGTTGTTTACAATTCGGGTTTGTGCACAGGTTTTAACGATTATAAGGTTTGTGCTGTTTATACAGATTAATAAACGTTTTGTTTCTCACAGAGGCACGTGTAAGCCTTAAAAGAGGCCATAAAGTGCTAAGGACAACCATTTTACTCCTCTTTTGTAAAAAATAACCCTATTTTATCAGGGCTGTCATCAAAGTTTCAAATGTTAATTTTAAGGTTAATTTACCATATATGGCACTATAGTGCCTCTGCTAGAAACACAAAACGACTATTAATTTCTATAAACAGCACTAACCCAAAGCACAAGAATTGTAAACAACATAAAAATGGCCGCTGTTAGAGTCTGTCACAGATATTATCTGTGACAGACTACACTTCAATCTTTCATTAAATGAAAGAGTGAAGTGAAGTGGAAAATATCACCAATTCGTATGACCCTACAGAAAAAAATCCAGTGGTGATAAATCAGGTGATCTAGCCGGCCACTTTATAGGTCCTCTTCGCCCTATAAATTTTATTTTTAAATTTATTGTCTAACCATTGCCGAACTGGAAGAACATAGTTGGTAGGGGCTCCATCTTACTAAAAATATAATTCATCTTTATCAAGTAAAGAATTTTTAACATCGAGTTGATTATAATAATTATAATAATATATAATAATATAATAATATAATAATATAATAATATAATAATATAATAATATAATAATATAATAATATAATAATATAATTATCTATATTTTCCCCATTTAGGTTTTTATCAATAAACAATGGACCAATTACTTTATTTTAAATACCTGCCCATTACTCGATACTCCTTTCCCATTCAAATACTTAAGGGGGTAGCTCCTGGGTGCAGAGGGTAAGGGTGGGAAAACAAATTTTGCCATGAAATATTGTTCCCCTTGATATAAAACTGTCCGTGTTTTTTTAAAAACCGAGAAATATGTATGTAATATGTTTACTATGTATTTGCACATTTTTACTAGGCAGTGCATACATTTTCTGAAATGTACTTTGACTGTGAATAATTGTAATGTCTGTGCTTGGTTAAGAATTTGATGACGCAATTTGAAACATTCGCCGCGACAACTATAGTAAATTTAAAGGGAACTGTGACTTTTGACATTTTGGTATTCTAAGGTCCCAAATCTAGGGACCCTATGGTATTATTCATGTAAACGCCATCTATCGCACTGTAGTTGCACTACCACTTTCACTTGATGCAATGATGGATCTACTATAATATGTTATAATAGGAATAACATTTTAATAAAAAAAAATCCATAACATTCGTTTTATTAAAATTCCTGTCGCACACAATATAATGGTATTGTTTACCAAAAACAGTTCAAACTAAACTAAAATAATTAACATGGGTTGGTATAAAAAGGAGTTGTTGCTCTCATTCTCTCTCAAGTCAACAACTCGCCCCCATATTTGTTATTGTCAAGCTAAATGTCTGTATCACCACTACACGCGAAGAGCACGTGGACAACATACAATCTGTGATAGAAGGCGTGGTTATTATTATTCAGGTGAGTTGGTGAATGGATCAGGCAAGAGAACGAGAACTTTGTCTTATACCACAAGTAAATATAACTTTTTTAAGAATTGCAACTTAACATACATTTTAAGAGCTACAAAAAGAACATTCTAAGGCGAACCTTCCACTTTTACACACTTCATTTTTAATGAACTCTTACAAACATGTTTATCAAAACCCCTCCTAACGTAAGTGCTATACGAACACCCTTTACAAGTAAAAACCCGAAACCTAATCTTCACTTTTTTTTCCACCTCGTTTTGGTGTCGGTGATTCCCAAAAACATGCCTCTGCAACTGGGCTCCTTTGGTGGCATTTGTCCCTACATAATCGCAATATGGGCACTCCAAACGTGATGAATAATGATACTGCGTTACGTGGATGGTAAGAGCGTGATCTGATAGGGCTATATAGTCGCACTTACTGCACTTGAACTTTAAATTATCGCTGCAATTGTGCGTTTTCAACTGTCTGCTGTATAGAGTCTTGAAAGAGCAGAAAGGACATGCGTGAATTTCTATTGTAAAGTGGATTTTTTTCTCGATTTCGTTCTGTCTGTAATGTCCATAGTAAACGTGCTTTTGCAACGCGATGGCGTTTTTAGAAAGGTGCTGACAATACGGGCAATGATGGCTATCACTCCAGTGGTCTCTTTGATGCTTTTTTAAATCTTTATTAGCGTTTGTTGTGTACGAGCACAAATTGCAGTTGAACGCGGTTTTCAGCCTTTTATTTTTACATGAAGCTATATGCGAGTAGAATGGCCCTTTAAATGATGTATTGAAGTCACAGTTATCGCAGGAGTAATTAGTTGTTTGACACGGTAATATTTTATCTCCTTTGTGTTCACCATATATGTGCGCTTGTAACGTTTGAATATCATCCGCTGTATACTCACAGTACATGCACTTAATATTCGACTTTTTCTCCGACACATGCGCATTTACATGGTCATCATAACTTTTCTTTGCAAACAAAGAATATCCGCACTTTTGGCATTTATAAATTGTTAGCTTCACTTTGTTCTCCATTTTATTTTGTTTTCGGTGCTTACTGTGTACATGTCTGTGCAAGTCTTGTTTTTGTTTTGTTCTGTAGAAGCAGTACGGACATGTTGATTCCAGTTCTGAGGACGTTTTCCTAAAATTAGTTTTTGTTAGTATATAAGTTATTTTTTTATCGTTCGACTATATAATATATTAGTAGAATTTAAGTGATTATAGGAAATAAATAAATTAACATTTTTGGTTCTTTGTTATATTTTATTATATAAAATGACAGTGTCGATGGTTAAGGTCATTCCCCGAATTTTGTTGCCTGGCCGGGCCATACGCCCGATTTAGGCGATCTAGAAATTAGAAGTTGCATTTGTTATGTTTATGGTTATGTTAGGCAAATATTGGAACTCATTGTTTATTTTAGTTTCGTTCGTTAAGTTTTAAATTTTTTATTTTTGTTGGGGCTGGCAACTATAGTATTATAATACTTATTTATGTTTTGAGACGTTCTTACCTAATGATTGGTTTATTTACAATGTTACGCTGTTTTTAGTAATAATGATTGATTATTCTAAGGTTCTTGTGGCGAATTTGCGTGTTATTAATTAGTACTTATCAGATTTTTGCAGATGATGGCCCCTTCCACTCTTGATTAGACTCGTTTGTTCTTTACATAAAGTGATTCATATTGGTCTGGGGTTAGATGTCCAGGTATGCTGTCACTTATCACTTAATTACTTTCGTGTACGTATGGTCTTTATTCACTATATTCACTTGTTGAGGGTTGCTTTTTAATGCACTAATTTATTATATCTATTAACAACAGGTGCACTGATTTTTCTTGTCCAGGTAGTAAATCTTTTTTTGTTTCTTTAAGACTTATTATTAATAATAGCGATCAAATTTGTCTACCCGTCTGTATCGGTAATGTTTGATTTTCTACGTGTAGGAAAAAAACTTGCATTGTATGCTTGATTCGCGATGATGTTTGTTTTTGTTGGACAATTTGATTTTTTTTTACATTGGTTACAAAGTTTCAATTTTCTTTTTTTAAAACAATATCCTATTGTTTTAAGACCTACTATACGCTAAAGAAGTATCGCTAGTAGCGCCACCACTCGGCTGTTATCATCGTAACAAAAGTAAAACTTTTAATAATCAGCTGTCAGACGCTTATGTTACAAACGAGTGTTTTTGAGAATAAAGCCGGAAAATGTTAAAAAATATCGGAAAACAACCGTGGCTCGATTTGTTGTGTTGTTGGGTGTATTTCGAGAGGAAATCCTGGGTTGACTTTTTACCGGTTTTCCAATAAACAGTGTTAATCTAAATGAAGAAATAAATTTCATACAGTCCCAATATAAATTGTATCTAATAGATACAATAAATACACATTTTAGTAGCGATAAACGTGAAAAGTGTAAAGATTTAAATTCAGTAAAAATCGTCAAAAAAATAAGTCGTCTAAATTTAAACAGCAATTAGCATTATTAAAAGCGTTGATTAAGAATTCTTTAAAGTCTCCACTCCACGGTAAAATACCATTATATTATGTATTATATAAAATATTATGTTGCCATGAATTCGTAGGTATATTTTGTTGTTTAAAATGCAGTTGTCGGCGTTTTTTAGAGGACTCAAATATAAAAATGGTTGTTTTTAAGGTTATGTTTGTGCAAAAATTATTTTTTAATAATTTCTTAAAATTGTCCATACTTAAATATAAATTATATTAGGTAAAGTTATCATTACTTAATTCTGCAACAGCAAATGTACTTACCGAATTGGATCATTTGGCAAAACATGAAAATGCAACGATTTAGTTCCAGAATTTTATTTACAATTAAAAACACAATAATTCACCATGATCCCTTAGATAAAATATACACACTAACGTAACTATATAAGCATTTAAGCGTTGAGTTTCTTAATCAATCATATAAGGAATAATCAATCGAAATCGAGTACTAAAAGTTTTTTTAATTTTTTTCTTGCAACGTAAAACACAAATAAAGTGCGCGATTTAGCTGTGCAATTGAACAAAATTTGTCGAGTAAGACTTCTGCCTTCCTCTCTTTTGTGAAAAAACTACCTATTTATGTATTTAAAAATGATGTACAGTTCGTATGCTTTAAATGTATTGTTGACAATTCTTAAATTCACGCAATGCTTTTGAAGTCCACCAGATGGCGCGCGCGTTGCGAAAACACGATCCTTCTTTAGCGTATAGAGCATGAAATATATTTTCCCTCATTTTACAATCACTGGGAAAGTGCGTGGGTGCAAATAGAGTAAAATATAAAAGTCAACTAAAAATAAACAAATCAATATTTATTAATCTTAAGTAATTACAAACTAGTCTACAAAAAAGTTTTGCCATAAGATGGCATTTGCTGCAAAATAGGTTAAGTACCTAATATCACTATAATAAATAAATTATAAAACAATTCTTACCTCTTACACCTGTAGATTTTGGCAGCGGATGTAAAACTAAAAATGTTCTTTCTGAAATACAATATGTACACTATTTTTCGACTAAAAAGAGTAGAACTAAAGTGATAAAATATCTTTATACATCAGCTGCTAAAATACTGCCACTAAAACATGAAAGAGTAAAACCGAATATAGGCGCCTTCCTCCAACGCGCGTCACAGTAGCTTGTGTGATAAACGACATGACGAAAGGTCGAGCAGGTAAGACGACCTTGAAAATTAAACGATAATAATGCAAAAAATCTCATTAACATTCGCTTAGCTACTGTGTCGCGCGTTGGAGGGAGGCAATACCACGCCCCATACGTTTCCCTATATTCGGTTTTACTCTGAACGGGCTGTACATGTTATAGTATAATAAACTACTTTATTCTGTTGGGACAAAACTTAATGTGTTTTTCGTAATAATCATGCCTTACTGTAGCGTATGTACAATCTGGACATTTTAATATTTTGTGACTAAACTCAACTTTATTTTCGATTTCATTTTGTTGTTTATGCTTAAGAATCACATGTTGTTGCAAGTTGGATCGAGTTATTTTTAAGTCGCAATAAGGACATGTTGAACTTTTACCAACGCGTTTTTCTATTTTTCGGTGAGCAAATGAAACTTTTTGTTTAACATCGTTTTCTTTTTTGTGTTTGTTAAACACGTGGTAATGCAATCCGTCTCTTTTCCGAATTTCCAAATGGCAATATGGACATTTTATGGTTAAATGTTTCGATACAGGATATACTTTGGTGGTAGACTCCTTTCGGTTCATTTTTTTACACCGTTTCAAATGCACCCTATAACGATGCATATCTAAGGTACTGTATGAACATTGACAAGTAAATACTTCAGAAGTAATTGTAACTTTTTGAGCGACATCATTTTGTTCTTTATGTCTAGAAAATACATGCGACTCCAAATTTATTGTAGCCTTTGCTTTAAAGTTGCAATAAGGACAGTATATTGCGGATTTATTATAGCCATGTTCGATCATTATTCTTTCCACTTGACCACGTCTTGATTCCTTATCCTCCTCTCTATATTTCTCGCTTTGTTTCAATTGAAAAGTAGTAAGGTTACTGAAAAAAAAAGTTTGTTTTAGATTCCATATTATTATTATATATATTTATATATAAATCAGATAAATAAAGTGTTTTACAAGAAGGGGCAAGCAGGTATTAGAAATATTCCCCAACACCAAAACAAAACACAAAGTAAACAACACAGCAAACGAAAAAATATAGAAGTGTATTGGATACCTGAGTTGTTAGGGTAAATAAAAATCAGACAAAGGAACCAAAGAAAGGAACTCTTTTCAACAAAAACATATGCAGAAATGAGAATATTCAAACTACTTGCATCCATCAAAAGATCAAAACTTCTTGCAATATTGAATTACACCCTCTTTTTATACTCTCAGAAATATTGACTGGAACAGTATTAGAGAGACTCCAGTTTCTATAACTTGGTAGAGTAAAGAGAAGTCGAAACCGTTGCGATATTGCATTGCGCTGTTTTTATAATTCTCGGGGACATTAACGAAAATCATTGCCAGTAAAATTCGAACAGCTTGAGTGTCTATGTTTCTGAAGAGAATAAGAATCCAAAGTTGCTGCACCATTGGACTGCCCCCTTTTTCAATAATATCTAGAGACATAAATGACTGCGCCAGTCGACAGGGTCGAGTTTCTACCTCCCTGTTGAATATAGAAAATCAAAATAATGTATCTTGTAAGACACCATTTGACTTTAACTATAGTCGTGCATAGGTATAGAGGCGAAAAATATAAAAACAAAGCAAGATTCAATACAGTTCTGATAGAACTTTAAGATTTAGTATTCAAACGAGAAGTCATCCTAAACACTACTATATTTTTACGTTTGCTGTGAAAAATCAATCACGAAGGGGTAAGGTTTTAGTAAAAGTCCAATGGATTTAAACAATTTTTTATTCAATCAATCTACAAACAATAAATCTAAAAATCAAATTTTAAGCTCCTACATTATTTAAATAATGGTACATTCTGTCAAAAAGGATCCGTAATTTTTTGTACATAAACTTATAAATTTGTAATTTATCCATACATTTTTTGTATATACCTTATTTTCTTCGTAAAAGTGAAAACTCTATGTAGATTATTCGAATATGATCATTAGGGTGCTTCAAAAAAAATTTTGTAGAGCGTTAAATTTTATATAAGAAACTGTAATGATCATTTCCATAAGTTACTTTGATACAAAGGTATAAAATTCCAAACATAAAATTATTTTTTCCCATGTTAATTAAATGGAAAACTAAAATAAAAACAGCGACCTCTTAGAGTTGAGCTGGAACGCCCATATTTGGTGAGGATTTTTTTATATTAAATTGAAACATTTGAGAGGGCAAGAGCAAAAAAATTAATTTTTTTGTTTGAAGCACCCCAATGATCAAATTCAAAAAAAATCATGAATTTTCGAACAATTTCGAAAAGAGGAGCAGCTAGAACTTTGGTAAATATCATTTTTAAGTCAACAAAGGGTCCCGAACAAGAAACTACAATCAGTTTTTGGCGGCATTTTTATGTGACTTAAACTTCGTTCAGGCACACCGTTAAACCGTTCGAACGGACGAGCTAGCAGCGAAGCGCGCCGCGTACTGATCAAGCGCACAGCGGGAAAAAAAATTAATATCTCCGGAATGACATATGAAAGGCAAATTTTTGAGTACATCTTATTAAACGGAAACGTTTGCCGCATATTATGACACAAGATTAATTTTTTTTCAGCGTGAAGAACACATACAAAATTTCAATTGTTTATAATAAATATATGCAAAATTCTTTTATTTAAACAAATTAACCTTAATTAAATGATCATTATATACTCTAAACATTTCTACAATAGTGTGTAAAATTTAATTCAATTATACAGAGTGGTCCCAGAGATTCTATTTTTTCAATTTTACCGTGCTCTAAAGTTTGACAAAATTGTCAACCTTAATAACATTACCAAAAAAAGAATTTTAAAACAATTTTTTTACTGTGACATATGAGTCATGCCTACTACACAATAATGTGATTATTTTCAAAATCGGTGATTTCGTGAAATTTTCTGGTCCCACTTGACGTGGTTTGACTCATGTAAGATAATACGTAAGTACTAATGAATGAGCACAAATTTAAAAATCAAATACTTTTTGACAGAATATTACCTACATTACTACTACAGTTATAACTAAATTACATTTTATAAAATGATATTTTACATTGTAAACATTATACAGTCATTTAACTTGAAACTTTGAAATATCTCAGTTAGTATGCATTTTACGAAAAAATTTTGAAATAAAAATTAAATGATTCGAGGGGGGAAATTAATCAGTACTAAAATTGGTCCTCATACTCTCCTCCATATAGGGGGAACAGGGGGTAACTTTAAGATTTCCAATGGAACACCCTATTTTTTATTGCAGCTTCGATCATTCGACTAAAAATAGGTAGATTTTGTCTAAAACATTTTTTCATATTTGTAATTGATGGCGATGTCGGTAATGAAAAAATATCAATTTTGTTCGATTATTCTTCTGAATACGATTCTGCAATAATTTTTCTATAAAAATATCACTTTTTTGGTAATAATTATCTTATTAAATTAAATCCGATTTTTTAACAAATATTTAAGTTTTATACATTACTTCATTCGGTGATAATTATCAATTGCGCACCATGGTCACTTTTTACCTGCCAGCATTACCTAAATCCTTTAATTTAAAGGATTATTTTACTATGTTTAATAGAAATACCTCATTTAAGGTAAAAACACTATTTTGTCAATTAATTAATTTAATCCTAATTGAGGTATAAAAAAATGGTATTTAGTTATAAATAATAATATTGAGGTATAAAGAAACTATTTATGGTTTAGCATTATTTAATCAATTTAGTTCGAAGATTAATTTGCAAACAAAAAGACCTCCTTTCGTTAAGCAGTTATTCATAATGGATTTTTTTACAGTGGAAGAAAAAATAGAAATGATTTTGATTTATGGAGAAGCAGGCAGGAATCATGATGATGCTGTTAATATCTACGCTCAGCGTTTTCCGGATAAAATTCGATCACGTGCTTCATTTCACCGTACAGTCAGCAGTTTACTACAAACGGGAGTGTTCAACCGAAAAAAAGAGTTCATCGAGCAACAGTCGCAGGTGGAAATAATGAGATTAATGTGTTAGCAGCAACGGCCGCTCATCCTCATGCAAGCACACGAGAATTATCTAGAGATTTGGGAAATTTTTTGAGTAAAATGGATACTGAGATATTTCAAAGTTTCAAGTTAAGTGACTCACCCTCTATATGTTTATATACACTCACAGACAAAATAATCGATCCACACAAATTTTCGATGAATTTCAATCGCAAATAACTTTTTTATTTGATTTCGGATTTAAACAAATATTAAAGAATAATGTAGATACATTAATGGAGAATCTCACACATTTTAAAAATTACTAAAACATACACGTACGTTTATAATATACAGGTTTAAACAAAAAGATGTTTTTTACCATAACTTTAAGACACTCTGTAGAGTGGCAAAACCGTATATTGTTCTAAATTAAGTTTTAATTATCAAGTCAAATCTATTTTTAACAGTTTTGTTTTTGGTTCACCTTGATATATTTATTTTTGTGGAAAATATTTTTCCTGTATGAAGAACTTTAGTTATAAGGTTGCTATGGTCAATCAATAGCCTACGGAGGATGACAGTGACAGTTTTGTTGAATCATCCCATACTTGGACATGTCATATACAGCTTTCAAAAGCTATCAAATTGTTTTTTGTAAATTATTGTGTTAATTTTGAGGTATCTTCTTACTTTTAAAAATGTCTCCGACTGATGTTGCCCTTTGTACTTTACTTCTTATGGCGTTTAAAACACTTGCCACGTAATACTGTGACCGTCCATCCTGGATTAAATTAATGACTCTGGCAACATCAGTCGGAGACATATCCATTTTTTAAAGTAAGAAGACACCTCAAAATTTAAACATTAATTTGCAAAACACAATTTGATAGCTTTTGAAAGCCGTGTATGACATGTCCAAGTATGGGATGATTCAACAAAACTGTCACCGTCATTCTCCATAGCATATGGATGGACCATAGCAACCTTAGTTCTTCATACAGAAAAATATTGGAAATTACAATGTTTTTTTAAAAAATCCATATTTTCTACAAAAATAAATATATCGAGGTGAACCAAAAACAAAACTGTTAAGAATAGATGTGACTTGATAATTAAAACTTAATTTAGAACAATATACGGTTTTGCCACTCTACAGAGTGTCTTAAGCTTATGGTAAAAACATCTTTTTGTTTAAACCTGTATATTATAAACGTACGTCTATTTTTTAGAACTCTTTAGTATTCGTTTAAATCCGACATCAAATAAAAAAGTTATTTGCGATTGAAATTCATCGAAAATTTGTGTCGGTCGATTATTTTGCCTGTGAGTGTAGTTACCAGTGGTGTAAAAACTTGCTAAGGAATTCTTGCATTACACAATTTTACATGAGTTGCAAAAATGTCGTTCCTTACAGTGTTGAAAGAGCATTTTTTACAATTTAATGAGGCGACGGTAACTTCGACTTTATTTTCGATTTGATTCTGTCGCTTATGCTTGCTAAAAACATGCTCTTGTAAATCACGAGTCCTAGTAGTTTTTAGGCCACAATAAGGACAAGTCAGGTTTTCATCAATATGTTGCTGATAGTGCGCCTGAAATTCCTTTTTTATGTTCGTTTTGTACAAACATTGGTCGCATTTTATTTCTCCTATAACTTGACATGTATGTTTTATGTAAGTTTCTATATTCTTTGAATGAAATTTACATTTTTTACATTTATATATTTTGACGTTGAGGCAGGAGTCCATGTGGGTTTTAAATAATTTTAAATTCATTGAGGAAAAAGCACAATTTGTACACTCGTATATTTTACAAGTGAGGGTAATTTTTTTCTCCACATCATTTATTGTTTTGTGTTTATCAAGCACATGCCCTTGCAATCCAACCTTCGACATAAATTGACTAACACAATATGGACATTTTTGGGCATTGTGCATCTTATAATGCAAATAGTACTTCTGAACTGAATTTGATTTATATGAACATTTTTTATACGAACATTTTATTTCTGTTTTTATTTTAACACACTTTTTTATATGCCTTTCAAACGCACTTGGCACTACTGCGGAAAATTTACAGTTATTACAGTTCAAAATATTGTAAGTGAATTCAATTTTTTTTTCAACATCGTTTAGTTCCCTGTGTTTGCTAAACACATGCGTTTGCAACGAGAAATTCGTGTTCACTTTCAAGTCACAATACGGGCAATGGCTGAATTTTAATTTGGACCTTTTTGGGGGGTGCTTGCAAAATATCCTTATATGGCATGAATATGTTTGAAAATCTGTTGTCCCAAATGCACACAATTTGCAATTGTATCTGTTTTGGGGTGCTTCTCCTGGTTCTAATTCCATAAAACATTCCCTAAAACAAAGTCTATTTTAGTATTTGAAGGGTAAAACTTTTTTTTATACAACAGTTAAAATATTTAGTTAACCAATAAAAGTCTAAATAATTATATAAGCCTTTATTAAAAATAAAACTTTGTATAATACATTGAGTATGAAATTTGTAAGTAATAATAATAAAATAAAAATAATATGCATTAAATAGTACCCTGATAGCAAAATTTGATTTTAAGAATCTTCTAAGAAGATATGACCCGGAATATTCTTAGAACCTTCCCTTATTGCTAAGAATGTTCTTAGGGACTTTTAAAACATTCAATAGATAACCTTTTAATGATGCAATTAGATTCTTAAAAGCTTCTTAAAACCTTCCTAAACAGCATCCTAAGAACATTTTAAGAATACGTTTTTGGAATGTTCTTAAAAGGTTTCTTAAGCTGCTTCTAGGAAGCTTTTGAGAATATTTCCAAATATGTCAGATACCCACGTTCTAATATGTTGTATTCTACATTCGTAAAATTCTTGAGGGGACGACAAATACGCCTCACTGTCATAATATGACAGTGTAATGTATTTGTCGTCCCCTTAAAAATTTTTGCTACATATTAATATATATTTATTTAAAAATATTAAATAAACAATTTGACCTCTAAACCATAAGTTGTATGACATTATTTCATAAAAAGTAAAATTGGAAAATTTTGTGGGATAAGTCAGATTAGATTGAAGTTGAAGATAGTTAGGATTATTATACATAAAAATGTTAATTCAGAAATAAAAAATCGGAATACAAATTAATAAATATTTATTTTTAACATAAAATAAAATACCTAAAGTAAAAGTATTTTTGTTATCGAATATTGTTTTAATTTGACAAATAACTATAAAAAAATATTTTGGATTGTGTTTTTTACTTAGTATTTAATACTAATTACTAATTAGGTACCTACTTAAGTATAGGTATATACCTTTATACGTAGTTTATGGTATATTTTACTATTATATAGGTAACTGAACTAAATATGCTTCACAGAAATATTCCTAAATGAACTTTCTTAACATTCTAATCATATGTTTAGAGTAGACTAATTTTTACCACTAAAACTGCACCTTCTAAGAACATGCCTATAGGCCACTAAGAATATTCTTAGGATCAAGCTATATGGCTTTTAAGCATGTTCTTTAGAAGAAATATAGCATGATTCTAAGAATATTCTCACTGGAAGGTTTAAAAAACATTCTTAGAATAAAGTGTGCTATCAGGGATTGATTTAAAGTAAATAATATTTATTAAGTACCAAATAAAATATATGAAAAATGTGCTAAGAAAAGATTAATTTAAGTTTTTAGTTTAAATGTTAAAACAATAAATAATGGGTTTTCAAATAAAATATCTTGTTTTAAAGCCATTTATAAGTCAAATGTTTTCAATAAAATAAAATATCCTGTTTTAAAGCAAATATAAAGAATGAAATGAAAAGTGTCAAGTTAAAACATAAACATTGCAAGAAAAATAAAACAACATATTTTTTCAAAATTTATTTATTACAAAATTGTATTTACAAATAAATGCAATCAATTATCAAATATTTTATTATGGTATGGTATAAGCTGGTTTTGTAATGCTTTTGGGATGTTTTCATTCCGGGCCATTTCATTATCAGCAGTTTGAGTTTCTGTTATGGACTCTCCTTAAAGATCATCTTAGCACATTTTCTGCACAATGCAAAAAAAAGATTTAGTTTTGTTTTGAAATTTAATTTTAATTTCTTACACTGCAGTACTTAAGTTTCTGTTATGGACTGTCTTCAAAAATCATATTATGCTTCCTGGTTTTGTCCTATTTCTTGTACAAAGAACTATGATATTGTTTTTTTCAATTTTATTTTAATTTCAAGTACCTACTTGATTTCTCTTTTGATAGATTAGCTGTTAAGTGTTAAGTTAGAACCGTATCCACTTTTGTATGTTTTTTTGATCCAATTTTCCTTCTTATAGCAACTATCTTCGAAATAAATTGAACAAATACAAGCTACCAAACAAACAATAATATTAACCTTAATTACTTTTTTATTTATATATCTGTCACAGATAATCTGTGTTTACAAAACTAATTTCTTTAATCTTTTGCGGCCAACAAAAAAATATTGTTTTAGTTAAATGCATACGGGTGAATATATTGAGATCTCCAAGTGAAAATGATTATTTTTTGTTTTTGGTTGTTTCACTGTTGGTCTAGAATGGGGTTTTTGGGAAGCCACCAGGTCTAGTAATAACATAACATAAATGGTTCTGCACTAATGCAAGAATTTTAAGAAATCATACATCTTGAATATTAGAGCTTCACGGAGGTTATGATTTCGTATGTTTTTAAAAACATCCTTTTGTATATTTGAAATAAGTTATTGTATCTTTTGACACCTTAATATTTTTTAAAAATACAATTATACATACATAAAATATTTATAAAAAAATCTACTTACTGACATATTACTTCACGGTGGATAGGTATTTAAATAGCAAATCAATGAACTTAAACTTTTGAATTATAAAACAGCAACACTCTCATCTGCATATAAATTCTAACTGACCTTCAGGAATCACATGCATCTATAATGCCGTAAACAGAGGTTTTTGCTTATTTAAAATGATTAAAGCGCCATCCGTGGCATAAAATTTAAAGAAAAAACAGATTCACGGAGGATAGAATCAATTTTTGTAACACCTACATAAATGGTTATAAAAATTATTTCCATTAATTTTTAATAATGTTTTATATTTGATTCGATTGCTTTGGATGTGTTTAATTTACTTAGTGAACTGATATTTTTAGTATGCTTTTACTACCTCAGATATTTGAAAACATATATGTTAACCTAGAAAGAGTAACAGTCACGGAGGATAGGTTTTAGACTTTTAAAACATTGTAAAATATATATATATATATATATATGTACTTCACAAAACACATTAAAAGTGTAGGTCAAACTCATTTGGTGTACCAAAATGTCTATTCTCCCTGTTTCTACCACCTTGCTTTAAAACTTTTACATACAAAATAATATTTTAGTTGATTAACAACAATATCAATAAAACATGACAGGGGAGTTGAAATTTGATAAAAAAAAGTTGTATGCGTTGTAAAATTATATTTATTATGATTTTCAATAAAAAAATACATTATTTTTATACAATAAATCATAATAATACATCACTAAACATCTTCGTTTGATGCTTGCTGAAACATTCATTCTTCATATAATGAGCAAAAGCGACTTACAAGAAATACATAGGAGTCAAATAAGGGCTGCATGGAGGCCACTTTATTTCGTTCAAATTTTCTTTTGGGGCACTTCAGCTCAGTTTTTATGTAAACCGTAGGGGATTCTTTCTTCACAAAATTGTACGTGAGTTGCATAAAGGTCGCACCTTACTGTACAAAAGTTGCATTTTTTGCAATTTAATGATGCGGTGGCAACTTCGACCCTTTTTTCGGTTTCATTTTGATGCTTATGAGTACAAAACACATGTTGTTGCAAATGGCGAGTATTGGTTGTTTTTAAGTCACAATAAGGACACGTTAAGTTTTTATCAACATGTTTTTTGTAGTGCAGCTCAAATTCCTTTCTTATGTTTGTTAAATAAGAACATTGGGAACATTGTATTTCATGTCTAAATGTAAGTGTATGATTGTTATTCCTTCTTATGTTTGCTGTATTAAATATACGCCTTTTGCAATCGTATGTTTGAGAAAAATTGGTAATTTTTTTCTCAACATCATTTTGTTTTTGGTGTTTCCACAGTACGTGTCGTTGCAAAAATATATTCGATATAAATGATAATGTACAGTAAGGACATTTTTGAAAAAGGTGCGTTGTAGAATGCAAACAAAGCTCCTCTACCGAATTTGTTTTAAATGAACATTTGGTACATTTTAATTCTGGTTTTACTTTGGGTGGAGAACACTTTACACGGCTTTTGTACACGATTTTATTTTGGGGTACTTCTGGTTCCATTTGCATGGATTCATCCCTAAAACAAAGTTGGTTTAGTTTTTGAACTGTAAATATTGTTTAAAACTAAATAATAAAAAAAGATAAAATATAGTCGACGAATAAAAGTCTTGTTATCTATAATTGCATTTATTAAAAATTTTAATACCAAATACATTACACTATGATAGTTTTAGAAACTTTTTTTTCCTAACATTGAGTACTCCAGCTTTTGTATCTTGGGAGATACATTAGCCGATTAAGGGCCGCTGATTTCAAAAATGTCATTAGTTTTTCTCTAGGACGTCTAGGATTTAAAATAATTTCGTAATAAAATGCTCTGCTCAATCACCTCAAAATGTTTTTTGTTTGTTGGTATTTTAATTATTTATTAAATTATTTTGGCTTAAATTTATCTTGAAGTAATTGGTATATGTCAAATAGATCATATTTATCTTTAAAATATTATATTTTAAATACTAAAACTAAAATTTTAATGTATTTTCTTTAAAAAACAACCATTATTTGACATTTTATGTCGTTTATTTTAATTATTGAATTGAAAGGACAACAAAGTAAACAAGTTTCAGTATTTTTTATCCAAATTAAGCCCTCAAAATTTAATGCATTGCATAATTTTGCTTTTTTCTACCTTAAATTTATTAAATCGTATCAAATATCAAATTGAATTATAGTATTATTGTGCTTAATCCTCATCATCGTCGTACATCTTTTGCTGCAAATTCCAGCAAATGTCTCCTAGCAATGAATCCAACTTCTTTCCGCTATACCCACAGATATCTACCAATGCTCTAGATTTGCAGTTACTTGGTAAAATCGTTCTCTATGTTCATCAGTTTGGCAAATTTATCAGGATGAAAAAAAAATGTATTTTAAAGTGACATATTAACGGTAATTCTTTACAAAACGGAGAGCATTTTTTCAATGAATTGGCGCCCGATATGAACCAAGAACAGTTTCAATGTTTCATTTAATATTCCTGCAAAATTAAAGTAGTAGATTCATCTCATAAAATTTTGTAATTAAATTTTGCGTTGGTTTTTCTTGGGCGTAAAGGTACCGCAACAAAAACAAAACAAATTTACAACGACGACATAAATGTTCGGCTCCTTTATCTGCCACTTCCATTTCCTGCTCTTTTTTCATTTTTGGTTCTTAAAATCACTTTCAAGTAAAAATACAATTTAAAGTTTAAATTTTAAATGTCAATAATTAATAGATACACTTTAATGTGCTTGAAAGATAAAGTAGATAAAGGCGCCTTTATACTTGAATTCGATATTAAATTTTGATAAAACTTAGTAAATAAGATTGGAGATTAAATTTTTGGGTACTTTAGGCATGATGTGAATAAAAAATATATATATCAAATAATAGTCAAAAAGTAATGCTTATACTAAAACCCATTTACTTTGTTGCTTTTTTAATTTAATTAGTAGGTAATTAAAAAAACGACACAAAAATTTCAAAAAATGATACTTTTTAACCAAAAAAAAAAACATAATTTTATAAAAAACTATAGTTTTGGTATTTAATAATACGAGCCCTAACCACATAATGTTCGGACACTTCATAATTTATACAGAAATTTTTTTCGTGAATACTATCTCAAAATTATTAGAAGTTATGAAAAATTCAGCTTATTTTGGCATATACCCCTCGAAGCGATTTTTATTTTTAAAAAGTTTACCTTTTATTTTTAGCTTTTAAAAAAAGGCTAACTTTTTAACTTTTTTTGTATGAGTAAAAAAAGTTATAAATGGACCCATTAAAAAGAGCATAAAATATTATACAAACCCTAAAAATTTGGTAAAAAATAAATAAGTTATAAAAAAGTATAAGTAATTTAAAAATGCTATTTTTAAAGAGTTTTTGCAATTTTCTTAGGAAACGGGAGATTTTGCAGATATATATATCGCTATAACTTTCTTATTATTTATACAATTTTTACCAAATTTTCAGGGTTTGTATAATATTTTATGTTCTTTTTAATGGGCCCATTTATAACTTTTTTTACTCATGCAAAAAAAAGTTCAAAAGTTAGCCTTTTTTTAAAAGCTAAAAATAAAAGGTAAACTTTTTAAAAATAAAAATCGCTTCGAGGGGTATATGCCAAAATAAGCTGAATTTTTCATAACTTCTAATAATTTTGAGATAGTATTCACGAAAAAAATTTCTGTATAAATTATGAAGTGTCCGAACATTATGTGGTTAGGGCTCGTACTACTATAGTATACTATAATATACAGGGTGTCCTGGAAAAGGAGGTCAATCCGTTAACCATATATTCCTTGAGTTAAAACAATAAGACTTTCATAATACCATTTTTCAATTTAGAGCTTCATGTTCGATATACAGGGCGACAAAGTTTGAAATTTAAAACTGATTTTTTTCAATAATTCGAGTAATTGATAAGATATTAAGTTCAAATTCGGTACACTACTTCAACATAAATAGTTACATTTTTTGAGACCAACAAAACAAAAAACAATTGTCAAATAATCAAAATAGGGGGGGGTCCAGTACTCACTGACTCCCCCTATTTTTAGTACGTGCGCCAATGACTCCCAAACGGTATTTTTTCAGGTAATCATTTTTTGTTAAAAAAAATTTGTCTCTTATAAAATTTTGATAAAATGATTTGTTTTAGTGATAATTTGTAAAGTATGGGTCAGTCCATATCAAATCAACCAAAGGTTCTTCCCCCACCATCTCCGATTTTGATAATTTTTGGTAAATTTGTTTACCTCACTAAAAAACTCAAAAATCCCATATATGAATTTTTTTCGATGGGTGGTTTTTGTTTTATTGATTTTTGAAAATCAAAAAATTCCGATAAATTTGGGTTTTGCAAATGTTTACAAAAATAGCGATATCTCGTAAACTATTAAAAGTAGAAAGGTGAGTGATGGCTTATTTTAAAGGCCTATTAGATACCTTTTTTATGATATATCAAATGACCTAAATTTTTTCAAAAAAAAAATTAAATTTCAAAAATTTGATATGTATTGACCCATACTTTACAAATTATCTCTAAAACAAATCATTTTATCAAAATTTTATAAGAGACAAAAAATGTTCAACAATAAATGATTACCTGAAAAAATACCGTTTGAAAGTCATTGGCGCACGTACTAAAAAATAGGGGAAGTCAGTGAGTACTGGACCCCCCTATTTTGATTATTTAACAATTTTTTTTTTGTCTTATTTTAATATAAACTACACTGTTTAAAAGTTTCACTATTTTATTTAAATATGACAATTGTTTCGCTACACAGTAGCATCTTCAGATCTGATATTAACATGGAGTTTCATCAAGTAAAAGTCGAAACAATTAATTAATTTTTTTTTTGTTTTGTTGGTCTCAAAAAATGTAACTATTTATGTTGAAGTAGTGTAGCGAATTTAAACTTAATATCTTATTAATTACCTACTCGAATTATTAAAACAAATCAGTTTTAAATTTCAAACTTTGTCGCCCTGTATATCGAACATGAAGCTCTAAATTGAAAAATGGTATTATGAAAGTCTTATTGCTTTAACTCAAGGAATATATGGTTAACGGATTGACCTCCTTTTCCCGGACACCCTGTATAATACGGCTACAATGGAACAAAAATGTTTCTATTTGACATTTATCTACCGATGACTTTGTATGGAGTAGGTACCTGTATATTTTTGACAAAAAACGTCAAAAATATACTGCACATCCAAAATAGATTGAAGGCAAAATAACACTAGGCAACAAATTTTAACTTAAAGAAAAGGTCCTGGTTAAAAATAGAATTTTTCGATCGTTTATGACTGAAATAGATCCAAAATGTTTTTAAAAAATTTTCTGAAGTCGTAAGTAAAAAATAGGAGCACAGTATTATGGTGCCATTTATTGCATAGATACACCATTTGAAAATTTTAGGATGACGTTACTTTTAACTTATATTTCAGAATTCCATGAACAACATATCCATAGATAACATATTGTAAAAATTTAAGGCATGTTTTTTTATGTTTACTGTTTTTTATCGTTCAAATTATTTTGTTTATTTATTTTTATCGTTATTATTTAACAATTTTTCTTTGTATCATGGTGCTTCGCGTATCGTCTAAACTAGACTTTGGAAAATTTTTTGGTCGCCGGATTTGCGTCGAGCAGGTGAAAATCTATATGACTGTGCTATTTTTATTACCGACCTTTTTTATTTACTAATTTTTATCGTTATTATTTAACAATTTTTCTTTGTATCATGGTCCTGCCCGTATCGTCTAAACGAGACTTCGGAAAATTTTTTGGGCGCCGGATTTGCGTCGAGCAGGTCAAAATCTATAGGACTGAGCTATTTTTATTACCGACCTTTTTTTTATTGTTTACTAGTGTAATTTAATAAATAATCAAAATATTAACGAAAAACTTACATTTTGAGATAATTGGACAGGGCATTTTATTACGCAATTATTTTGAATCTCAGACTGCAGACGTCCTGGAGCAAAATTTTTGAAATCAGCAGCCCAAAATTAGGTAATATAGGTGGGCGTACTCAATGTTAGTAATTCGAACTATCTTAGTGTATTTATTATGATTTTCAACACTAAATACAAAAACACTTTATTTTCATACAATAAATCATAATAATAAATAAACGTCGAATACGGGAAATAAACGTCAAAAAATCTACTTAAATTAAACATTATGCTGTCAAATAAAATATAGAGGATGAAAAAAAGAACAATTTGTGAAGCACGATAACCAAGTTTAATCGCTTTACAAAATATTTGGGCTCCTTTCTCTATAAAAAATGAATGTTTTAGCAAGTATTAAACGAGCACACAGGGCAAAAGCGACGCAAGAGTATTATCGAAATGAAACCAGTGCTACTGTATACTATTGCAAGAAAAATACATAGGAGTCAAATAAGGGCTGCATGGAGGCCAGATAATTTTGTTCAAATTTTCTTTTGGGGCACTTTAGCACAGTTTTTATGTAAAACATATTAAGGGATTCTCTCTTTACAAAATTGCACGTGAGTTGCATAAAGGTCGTTCCTTACTGTTTTAAAATGGCATTTTTTACAATTTAATGATGCGGTGGCAACTTCGACCATCTTTTCTATTTCATTTTGATGCTTATGAGTACAAAACACATGTTGTTGCAAAACGCAAGTCTTGGTTGTTTTTAAGTCACAATAAGGGCATGTTAAGTTTTCATCAATATGTTTTTTGTAGTGCAGCTCAAATTCCATTCTTATGTTTGTTATATAAGAACATTGGGAACATTGCATTTCATGTTTAAATGTAAGTGTATGATTTTTATATCTTTCTATATCTGCTGTTTTATATTTACACTTTTTGCAACAATATAAACGGTATAGTTTATTTAAACAAGAACTGGTATGTTTTCTATACATTTTTAAATTTATTGTGTAGAAAGTACACTTGTTACAATGGTATGTTTTAGAAGTGATGGCTACTTTCTTCTCAACATCATTTTGTTGTTTGTGTTTAACAACCACGTGTTTTTGCAAAACTATATTCGATTTAAATGTTAATGTACAGTAAGGACATATGTTTATATTGCACTGAAAGAAATATCGGTAGTAGTATTAATAAACAGCATTAATTAAATGGTTTTTTATTGAGACAATGGTTTTTTAATTGATATTATGAAAAAAAATTGCTGCATTATTAAGGAAGTTTCATACTTTTTATTGATATTACGAATCGGTGTTTATTAAAAATTAATTAAACGTGTTTCGGTATTCAATGCAACTGTTTGTTGGTACCATCAAATTTTTATTAACCCAACCAATACTGCGGTTGTAAGAAACGTTATATTAATAAACATTTTTAATTATCTTAGTAAGGTAAAGTATTAATAAATTCCGTACGTAATATAAATGTTTCATTGATTAACCAATAACTATGTTAATTAATCAATAACAGAATTCGTATTTCTGATAATATGCATACATAGTCTAATTAAACGCATTAATTAAACAATAACATTGTTTATTGATCAATAACAGCATTCGTAGTTGTAATAAAACGCATACATAGTCTAATTAAACGAATTAATTAAACAATAACATTGTTAATTGGCTTAACGAACGCGTTCGTTGGGACAACGAATACTTGACTAGGTTACCACCCAA